GCGAAGGAGAAGGTGCCGGCAGCCATAGCCGAGGTGGAGAGTTGACCGGAGGGTTGACCGGACGTTGACCGGGGTCTTGCCGTGTTGACCAAGCGTTGACCGAGTTGACCGGCGCCGTTGACCAAGACTTTGACCAAGCTGGAGTTGGTAACATCTCGCCAAGCCCTGAGCCTATCCCCTCACCCTGGAGTCTCTCTTCTTTCTGCATCGAGTCTCTGCTGTCCTAAGTGATAGTACTCTGTGGATGAAGGATAGGCCTGGTTGACCACTCCCCTACCGGATCTAGTAGGGCTGAGGTTGTGGCAGATCCAACTGTCCAGGGGGGCATAACCCTCCCAAGGACCGGTGCTGACCGGCTGGACACGGTTGGTATGGTACAGTGGGCAGGGGGGCATAACCTTCCTAAGGACCGGTGCTGACCGGCTGGACACGGTTGGTATGGTACACTGGGCCTGAAAGATTGAGTTGCGGGCTGAAACAACATGTAGTCTAAGTGTTGAGGGCCTTGTTGATCCGAACCCCTGTCAGACCTAGTAAGGCTAAAGACTGTGTCTGACGACTCGACTGTCCCGGGGGATACGAACCCTCCCAAGGACCGGTACAGACCGGCGGGCTGCTCGGTGTGGCACGGTAGGCCTGAAAGGCTGAGCTGTGGGCGGTGTGATAGGGAAGGACCAAGCTGATCACGTCGTCCTGACTGCGACGTTAAAGAATTCTTGCGGAGTTTGGGGGATCTCCTTAAAACACCTCCAGATCAGCCACTGGTACAGTAGTGACAACCTTAGAGTAGGTCTAGGCTAGTGACCATAGCTAACAGGGTTCTACCCTGTGGTCCTTAGAGAGTCAGTCAGTCAGTGGTTTGGGTAGGTCTATGTGGTGAGGAGTGGGACATTGTCGTGCACCTGAACACCATGGATGACTACCCCATGTATGGTTTACTCGTTGGGTTCTCCCTTTGGGGGACCCTTCGGCGTTTCATGTTTCCATTGGGATTCTGGAACACATTTTCGTGTAGGGTAGAGACCAAGGGTGGTACGACCACACACCCCTACACGCCTGAAGAAGAGGCCAAGGCCACCGCCATCCTGAAAGAGAGGAGAGAGAAGAAGGAGGCCAAGAAGAAGGCCTTGTTGGAGGAGCAGGCGGCGAAATTGAAGAAGATTGAGGAGGAGATGGCCAGACAGAAGGAGAGGTTGAAAAAAAAAGAAGAAGCGAAGTTAAAAGAGGTGGAAGAGGAGGAGGAGGAAGATGAGCAGCCGCTGGAAAGGAGGAGAGAGCGACGAGGGCAGTACAGTGGGAGTAAAAACAATGAAATGGAG